GTTCCATTTTTGGATGTTCAGTAAGTTCACAAAACATATATCTTAACTCTTTCCCCACCATTGATGGATTTTTCCGTCATTTATGAGACAGTGCTTCACCGTTGATGGAATTTTCCAGCTTTCCATGTTTTCACAGGTGTACAGTAGGAGGTGCTATTACGCATTTTCTGATATTGAAAGTCTGGATCAAAACATGGCGAAGAAGAAGCAGAAATAAGCAAATGCTTATGTAAGCAGATGAATATGTAAAAAAGCGATCATCAAGATTAAAACAGCAGGTAAATCAAAACTACCTAACGTTTGTATGAAATGATATCGAACGTATTGAATGAAATGATGAACCAGTAAGTCGTTTAGAACTGTGCAAGAATTGGATCTGTTGATGGAGGCAATCTACACCATCTATGTACTGATCATAGTTCTGAATCTGATCCAGACATAATCTTTGAAAAAGATTTTCTCAGCTTTTTGTTAAAAATATTGCTTTTTTCATGAAACTTACTCACATTCAAGTGTTTATTTATTTTTGCTTAAAAGCAGAGGTTCTGTTCTTTATTTTGGCATATTGCATGTTTGGCATGTTGCATATTCAAATATTCATACATCAAAATATTCTGGGGGCCATTCAACTTTTGTGAAAATTATCAAAAATGCTGGCAGTCGCTGACAACTTTCTAAAAAAAAAAAAATGCTGACTCGGAAAGAGTTAAAAGCCATCCAATTAGGCTTTTTAATTGGTATCTTCTTTAGGTTCTCTGTTAAAAATGACAATGTGAATGCTAATCAAACCAGGACTAAATGTATCATTTTCTTTTTTGGTCTGGACCAAAAGAAGCAAGAGAGCAGAATTACAAGTGTAAATACACTGTTAGTCCATTTTTTTTACATAGTTTGTTTGATGTCAGGGTTTTGTTCAGGTCTAGCAATGTAAGTGTTATGTTTCATTGCTGATAACCAGTTAATATTTCCTTAGTAACATAATTTTCACAAAACCAACTACATTTTCACAATGTATCAAACATCAGTCATGCTTGTTCTTTTGTTCAGAAAACTTTAGCTACGTTCCTGTAGCTCAAACAGTATAACATAGTACTAGCAGCTTTCTGTTGGTCAATACGACAAATCGGAGTGACCAATTTAAAGCTAAAGTGAAATTTTCGCCTCATACAAAAGTCCAGATTGTGCAGATTCGTAATGACTCTATTTCAACCATGAAAAGTTCGTCAAATGACAGTAAATGTGGCTGCACCTTAAGTCACTTTGGACAGAAGCATATGTGTAAGTGTAATTTTAGTCGTTAGATATGTAAAACTATTCTTTTATTTAGTTAATTTGGACAGGATCGCACTGATCTATGGTTCTGGCTACATTTTACTGGTCTAAAGCCGGTCCACCACCGAGACCAGCACTATAAATCAACAAGTCCAGACCAATAGTGGAATTTTGTGTTGGTATAACTTAGTTGCCCCACATTCTTCAATACACTTTTAATATGCTTCTGGAGTAAGGATCATATTCAGTATGGAAGATAAAAGAGTGTCAGACATCAGTACAGTTGGAGTCCTATTATTGGTCGAGTTGTTTGCAGGGACACAGGCATGTGTACGCGGATGGACCTCCTGGCAAGACAGTGTGACGCCGCCATTAAAAACCTCTAGCTCTGAGTGTGAGCAGTGTCACTGGGCCAATTAGCCTGTCACACAGACACACACACACACACACACACACACACACACACACACTGACTGACAGCTGCCACAACTGTGCCTTTGACATTCACAAAAAGACTAAAAGAGAATGAGAGAAACAGGGAGAGCATGCAAGAAACTGGTGGATGTCTGAGGATCACTGTGATTTATGGCTGGAAAGTTAGATCGATTTCACCTCTGCAAGCTGCGGGTCACTGTTGTAAAGATATTTTGTTTACTCTATTAGTTTTGGCATAGCATGGCCATTTCAGATGGCACAAACAAACATCAGTGACTGACTGCCCATTTTTATCAGCAGCCTCTATATTTCCCATTCATTTGATTCATAGGCATTTCAAAATATTATTCAGTTATGTACTAAGCTTGAGCCAAACCAGCTTGCTGTGAGATGAATCACAATAACATTGGGAATCACATTGTCAATTGATACAAAGAAAAAAGGTATTTGGAAATCAGATCAAAAAGGTAAAGGAGAGAGTATACTAAACATCCTTTGTTAAAAAAATAAGTAAAATATAGCATAGGCTACTTTTAAAAAGAGTACTTATTGCTGAAATAATATACATAAGAGGATCACTGTGATTTATGGCTGGAAAGTTAGATCGATTTCACCTCTGCAAGCTGCGGGTCACTGTTGTAAAGATATTTTGTTTACTCTATTAGTTTTGGCATAGCATGGCCATTTCAGATGGCACAAACAAACATCAGTGACTGACTGCCCATTTTTATCAGCAGCCTCTATATTTCCCATTCATTTGATTCATAGGCATTTCAAAATATTATTCAGTTATGTACTAAGCTTGAGCCAAACCAGCTTGCTGTGAGATGAATCACAATAACATTGGGAATCACATTGTCAATTGATACAAAGAAAAAAGGTATTTGGAAATCAGATCAAAAAGGTAAAGGAGAGAGTATACTAAACATCCTATGTTAAAAAAATAAGTAAAATATAGCATAGGCTACTTTTAAAAAGAGTACTTATTGCTGAAATAATATACATTAAAAAATATAAACTGATGCAAATCAAAGATGGTATACAATGAACTAAGAAAATATGTAAACCTATTAAAACCCTAATAAACATAAAATCATTATAATACACTAGCGGTTAACTTACAAAGTGCACTTTTTAAAACTGTACTTAAGTGTGTAATAAACCGTCTCTTTACTCTCTTTAAGTACACTGCAAGTACAGTTTTTAAAAATTAAGTACATCGTAAGTAGAGAATCCTCATGGTGGCTACCATTGGTTTTTCAGGAAAAAGATGGATACATTTGTGCATATGGACATCAGTGAAGACTAGGGCTATCCATTTAATAATTCGAATTAAAATTATAATTTACACTCAATACGTTATTATTGCATACTGTTTTATAATGTACTACAATATTGAGGTGCAGATAATTGCCACATTTGCAATAAGTAGTATAAATAGCAGAAAATCCTGCTAATTTAACATAGTGTACATAGAATCTATCGCTATTTGCACTATTGCATTTATTGCTATTTACACTTTTAAATGTAAATTATGTTTTAGGTGAATATTAGAGCAAATTTTTAGTACAAAGCTTTGTTTACAAAATAAATATAAGGTAAGCAATTAAATGTTATATTGCAACCATAGAAACATTTGTGCTGAATTAGAGAGGTACGTGAGTTCATAAATTTAAGCTATATTTCGGTGTCTGGTCAAACCTATTTTCCAAGTTTCTGCTTGTTAGACTTTGGTAATGCACGTCAAGTTCATTTGTATAGCACATTTCGCATGCACACACAAACACACACACACACACACACACACACACACAACACACACACACACACACACGCACGCACGCACGCACGCACGCACGCACGCACACACACACGCACACACACATGCACGTTTGTTTCTGTGAATTGTGGGGACTTTCCATAGACTTCTATTACTTTTATTCTGACCAAACGATACAGTATTTTCTATCCCCTAACCCAACCCTAACCAAACCTACCCTTACAGAAAACCTGTTTGCATTGTTACACTTTCAGATAAACGTTATTTACTATTTTTAATATTGTTTTTTTCCCTCTTGGGGACTGCAGGCCGGTCCCCACAATGTCAAAAAATTTCAGGTTTTACTATTCTTGTGGTCTACTATTCTATTTGGTCCCCACAACGTAGCATAAACAAGTACACACACACACACACACACACACACACACAAACACACTGGTAATTTAATTTCACTTTCTCTGGCAGTTCTCTGGAATATTAAATATTGCCATAATAACTCTTTCTCTGCCAATGTTTTTTTTTCGTCTTCTTTTTGAAAAACAGTTGCCCGTCACCTCCAGCATTTTTCATCATTTTCACAAAACTTTCATGGCCCCAAGGATATTTTGTTATATGAATATCTGAACATGTAATATGTCAAACAAAAGAACAGAGCTTTTGCCATTTTAATCTAGCTTCGTGCATTATTTTTTATCAACACTTGAATGTGGGAAAGTTTCATACAAAAATTGAACAAAGTCTGAGAAAATTGCATTTTTGGCTATTTTTAAGACTATTTTCAGATCAGATTCAGAACAATGATCAGAACATAGATGGTATCACTTCCAACAGTTCTCCCAAAGCTTCCACAGTCCTATACCACTTCGTCAACATTTAATTCAATAACATTTGTCCGTTTTGATTTATATGCTGTTTAATGTTTGATGATCACGTTATTTTACATATTCATCTGCTTACATATGCAATCTCTTGTTTCTGCTTTGTCTTTACCATGTTTTGATCCAGACATTTAGCACTCTTTCAGAAGATTTATAATAGCATCTCCTACTGTATAACAGTGAAAATTCCATCAATGGCGTGGATAGAGTTAATGTCTTGCACATGTGAAAGATAAAATTAGCATGTGACGAGTGGGGCGGGGCCGAGAGCTGTGGGAACGGAGCAAGGCCGGTGGAGTAATTGCTAATGCGCGACACCTGCGCCACTCACCGGTCTCGAGTCCCACGGAGGAGCTCCGGAAGGATAAAAGGAGTGACGACAGTGTTGGAGGAGAGAGGACCAGGCCTGGATTTTATTTTGTGTTTTGTGTGCGGCAGTCGTCCGCGAGGGGCTGCCGCTTTACTTTCGTTTTGTGTTTGTTTATTTTATTAAAGTTTTAAATGTTCGCCGGTTCCCACCTCCTTCTTCCCGTGACTACAAACGTTTGTTACATTGGTGCCGAAACCCGGGAGGAAGGAGGGACACGCTGCCAGAGATCCCTCGCCGCTGTGGTGAATCCGCGGTGCCATCGAGCATGGTGGAGCAGTCTGCCGCCGTGGACGCTCGAGGCAGTGGGCTGGAGTGAGTTGCCGGGGGGCCGGACGAACTCGCTGCCGGCTGCCTGGGCTGTGGAGGGACGGCTGCCATCCGTAAGGGAGCGGAGGAGTCGCCGCCGTTCGCCTGAGGCCGGAGCCTGCTGCCATCCGCCATGATGGGGAGGAGCAGGGAACGGGGGACTCCTGCCGGCTGCCCGAACCCGGAGGAGCCGTCGCCGTCCCCCGGGCGGCGGAGGAGTGTCGGGCCGTCCACTGAGGGCTGTCCAGTGTCGCCGCCTGGCATCGCGGAAGAGTTTACCCAGCTGGTGGAGGGCCGAGCGCGTTCGCCTAAGGCCGGAGCCTGCTGCCATCCGCCATGATGGGGAGGAGCAGGGAACAGGGGACTCCTGCCGGCTGCCCAAACCGAGAGGAGCCGTCGCCGTCTACCGGGGAGCGGAGGAGTGTCGGGCCGTCCACCGAGGGCTATCCAGTGCCGCCGCGTCGTCTGTCTGTCCTTACCCCCAGGTATGCCGCGGCCGCCGTGATCGGCTCCCCCGGAGGGGGCAGGGGGGGAGTAGAGTGCAGTCTCGGGAGTACCCCCCGGCCTGCGAGGGGCGATGGGGGTGTGTGACGAGTGGGGCGGGGCCGACAGCCGTGGGAACGGAGCGAGGCCGGTGGAGTAATTGCTAATGCGCGACACCTGCGCCACTCACCGGTCTCGAGTCCCACGGAGGAGCTCCGGAAGGATAAAAGGAGTGACGACAGTGTTGGAGGAGAGAGGACCAGGCCTGGATTTTATTTTGTGTTTTGTGTGCAGCAGTCGTCCGCGAGGGGCTGCCGCTTTACTTTCGTTTTGTGTTTGTTTATTTTATTAAAGTTTTAAATGTTCGCCGGTTCCCGCCTCCTTCTTCCCGTGACTACAAACGTTTGTTACATAGCACTTCGGAGCTTTTACAAAAAGTGTCAGTTGCTTTGGAACATCAGGAGAAGACATGAAGATGCTCGTGTCCCACAGCCCTCTGAATGCACAGAGCAGTAAATATTATAACATATTAAATATCATAAACGTGCGACTAGTCAACTAAATGAATGATTAATAGTTGACTAGGAAAATCTTTGGTCAGGGCAGCCCTAGTGGAGACGGAGCTCCTTTATCTAAACCAATCCCTATATCCCTAGTCTTAGTCAATCAAATGGTCTTTCAAATGTTTCTAACTTTCTCACTCTGATTAAAAGTGAACAGCGTGAAGGTGTGTAGAGCTACTGAATTCATCCTGTGTCCTCCCAGCGGCTTAGATCTGCCAGTGTCTCTGTCTGCGATGTGTCTGTCTGGCTTTAATTAGGATAGAGTGTTCCCAGCTGAAGCTCTCACCTGCTCAATACTCACTGCGTCAGCTCGCGCTCTATCAGAAGATCCTGTCCCTTCCTCTCAGTGTGGGCCAGAGTCCGTTTCTCTCATTTCGGGCAGAAGCTATTATCAGTTGTGCGATTCCTGAAGCTTTTATTGCAGGAATTGACTGAAGCTCAAGGGGTCAGTTCCTGGAGTACACAATGAATAATATTGGGAGTGTTGCTGTCTCTTTACTGGAAGTCAAGATATGCTTGATCTCGGCCTGGCTAAGGGTAAAAGTCATAGCTCACAATGTGACGGCTAAGTGGAGAATACATGTAAATTCTAAATATTTAGGACAGTCATAACCACAATAACCAGATTAATGGCAAACCAGTGAACAGTTGTTCAGCTTTTGTTTTGACTCTCCCAGTCTTGAATATTTGGTTGCAGTGAGTTGATTATAATGGTATATTCCACGCATTATGAGGGTATTTATTTAAAAATGCCTTATAAAACCAAAATTGCATATTCACTGTTCTCATAGGTTATTGTAACCACATTTATATTGTATTTTGACACTTACCTCTTCATGTTATGATGGATTATAATATATTATATTTTAGTGTCCTATAACCACAACTATGTTCTTAATATTTATGAAATACTATTATACTTGTATTTATGAAAAAGTGTAACAACTAAACATATATATTTAAGGCATTATGAATACCTTTATAATGCATTATATTTGGTTTATAGAATATATCATACATGGTTTTATTACGTTTTTTTTATATTAAATGTATCAAAAGTGACATTAAAGACTATTATAATGTTACAAAAGATATTTGTTTCAAATTAATGCTTTTCTTTTGAACTTTCTCCTTATCAAATAATTGTTGGCAATTGTCCAGAAGACAATCATTGACACCCTCCACAAAGAGGGTAAGTCACAGAAGGTCATTACTGAAAGGAGTGGCTGTTCACAGAGTGCTGTATCAAAGCATATTAAATGATCTAGCCCCATCATACTTGTCCGAACTTCTCAGCTATCAGGAATCCTCTCGCTCTCTCAGATCCTCTGATAAACTTTTCTTGCATATACCTCTCTCTCGCTTGAAATTTAAGGGGGATCGGGCTTTTTCTGTAGCCGGTCCTCGACTATGGAACAGCATACCTCTGGACATTAGATCTGCGCCTTCCCTTCCTGTTTTTAAATCCCGCCTGAAGACTTATCTGTATTCCTTGGCTTTTGGATGAAATGTATGTCTGTGTATGTTAATGTGTTTTTGTATTGATTATGTGTTTTTGAGTCATTTCTTTTTATTCTCTTAATCTCTATATTTATTTTATTTGTATATGTACAGCACTTTGGCATACACTAGCTGTTTTTAAATGTGCTATATAAATAAACTGACCTTGACCTTGACCTAAATACAAAGTTGACTGAAAGGAAGAAACTGGGTAGGAAAAGGTGCACAAGCAACAGGGATGACCGCAAGCTTGAGAATAGTCAAGCAAAGCTGATTCAAACACTTGGGAGAGCTTCGCAAGGAGTGGACTGAAGCTGGATTCAGTGCATCAAAAGTCACCACGCTCAGACGTCTTCAGGAAAAGAGCCACACCTCACTGATGCTGGAGTTTGTGCTAAAGGAGCCCCGACCAAGTATAAAGTGCATAAATTAACATACTTTAAAGAACTTGAACTTTTCTGTGTTGCGAATGCTTTTTGAAAAATTTTTCTATTGATCTTAGGAAATATTCTGGTCCAGGTAAGGGGCGGAGTCCGGCGGCCGCACACGCTCCCCTCTTGGTCCGGGTCACGAGGGGCGGTGACTTCGTCCTCCTTGGCCCACGGCGCTTCCCGGGGATAAACGGGCCGACATCCTGGCCCGTCAGCAGTATAACGGGTGCGGTTCTCATCCGGACCGCGAGTCCGACAGCTCACGGCTCTGGCGGCGCGGACTCTACGCACCCTTCCTGGACCCACGAGGGCACCAGCGTGCATGCATGGGGAAGAGACCGGTCATATAGAGGAGAGGCGCGCTCGGCATTTATACAGCGGTGGTGATGAGGCTCCATTCGGTTCAGGTGTGCCCCATCACACGCCGCCAGCCCTGGCTATTTCAGCGCCCCTCCTCTCTCACGCACCCACTCATGTCAGGAGCCTGGCGTAGGGCGGCGATTAAGGGACGGGGTGATGCTGATAATTAGGGGGAGGCAGCCGACTCGTCACAATATA